GAAGTGTCCGAGTTGGAATACGTTTTTCAAGATAAACGATAGACTTAGCTCACTGACCGTACAACTTCACAATTTCACGGAACATCTATTTCTACACACTAATTAATAGTAATGAAAAAACAAAAGAAATGTATACTTGTAACCTTTTCACTCAACCTGAGCCGTGTACGTCTACAACTGATTCAACCACCGGCTGTTTTATTATTATGGTCACGTTATTGCGAAACTAATGGTGTTCGTGTAACCATGGTCCTCCCCGCGGGTCAGCGGTAAGTTTACAGATTTTCCACACTAATATCTGGGGCTCGTGCCGTCGCGATGAGCTGGAAAATGATTAGGATTTAGTTGACGCTCGGACAAACATTTTTACCACTGCACCGATGAACTCTTGAATTATATATATGTCCATATAGGCTGTATTTCAGGCCTTTCATTTGTTTATAATTACCCCATTTATCAATTAAGTTTATACAATTGATAAATTATCTGTAGATTACATAGCATCTCCACATCATAATATATATATATTGTTACGCCTCCGTTCATTAGTTAATTTTCCGTAAATTCTTTCCGACTAAACTTTAGCGACACAAGTCCTTTCTTAAACAAAACTGGTTTATTGTTTCCGAATACAACTTTACGATACACTTAATTTCAACAGTCGCTCTATAACAAACGCTATAACTCACGTGGCTAACAATATTCTGTCCGCATACATTCAATTACTCATTACCTCCCCGTCGCTTCGTGGCCGGTCTTATATATACAAGACTACACTATATTTAGAAGGATCACGAGATTTAAGGAAAAGACGTGAATGTTCGAGAATGACGTGGAGTGATACTAGTCACGTGACCTCTATGTCGTAACAATATTATTTGTGTATATCTTTAAGTCATCATTTTAAAAGTGAATTTCATTAATTTCATATACAGCCTTTGAAACTTGCAAGTTAATAATATAAAATATATATATTCACAGTTTAAGTTTATTTGATAAATATATGCACTTTAATCACGCTAAAAAAAAGTAAAGGAGCGACGTTTACTGCTAACTCTTCGGCTCCACTACACTGCTGCTTATATTGAACTGGTAGACTAGAGGAAAGACAGCAAGTCAACAACGTTTACTGCTAACTCTTGCTCACTGAATTGTGGGATACGACCGTCCCTCGTATAGTGCACATACGACCACGAAGTGCAGAGCATTTTGCAACATCGAGTCATGAACCATGAATCCTCGGATTCACAACTTGGGTAGCCCAACCACTAAGCTACGTCGGCCCTTCACTTTACTACAAACAATCTTTTCAACAAACAAAGTAACGTAGCAGTCACCAGTCCTTCTGAGTTAAACAATCTTCTGAGCTATAGCAATGTCACAAAACATTCGTCCGTCCTTCATTGTTCGTCTTAATATAACAAATGAAATATATTATGGTCAAGGTGGTGTGACTTTATTGGTTTCGATTTAAAATATACATATTTGTACATGTTCAAAACTTTGTGTTTGTTAGTTCAGTCATTGAAAACTATTTATGTAATTTGATCAAATTATAAAGTGACTGAACTTTGGAAGGTACTTGTTCTTCTTAACATGAGCGGTATCTTATCATTCACGTGAGATAAATGGCCAGATCAAGACTCCTAAGGTTCAGTCATAGACACCCCTAATTAAAAACTGTTATTCAGATGAAGGGAATCTAATTAGCAAGCAGCACCTGCTACCTATGCAACCATTCATAACAAAATGACTGTCATAGTTGTAGCTCTCAACAGCTAAAAGTGTATTCGTGACACGATGTAGTTCGAACCTCGGAATAACGGTACGCAGCCCGGCATGTTAATCATGTGACTTTATTGTAGTTTTTACCTCACGTTTATACCCATTGTATAGACTAGAAGCATCAATCTGTATCACTACCTTACTTTATTAATGAATGCTGTAATTAAAAAACAAAATAACCGTGTTATTCGATATGATGCTTGTGGCACCATCTAGTGTCAAAAGAATAGTTTTAGTAACCTCTTTTTTTAAATATAAACAATTATCATATTGTGTGAAGCCTTCAGATTTTCAACCATATTAGCATAAGTTCAAACAATAAAAATGGGAATAAATAAATCCAAGAATTATATACAATGAAAGTAGAAAATATACGTAATGTTGAACAGCTTAAGAAGTGTAAAACAATTCTGTTTATTTTTACGCAGTGTTTATAGAAAAATTTAAGTACGGTATTGTAAAATCTTTCGTGTTTCTTGAGCAAATGAAACATTTACACGAAAGAAATACACCATATAAATGATTCGTTGTGACAAAGATCAATTTATCCAACCGTTTTCCGACTTACAGGCTTACCTCAGAGAAGTCAGTTAGGGCTAACCGAGTTCATGGTACAAAAAAAAAGAGACGAGAAACAAATGGTGAAATTACTGGTAACACGTGTTTGCTAGGCGCCCTCTATTCTTGTATATAAGTGCGCCAGATAATTAATCGGAATTGTATAGCAGACAGAGAGATTGAAGATATAGACGGACAATTGAGTCAAGCGCGGTAGTTAGAAAAGTGCGTGAATCGTTCGTTGTAAATTATAGCGTGTGTTTAAGTTAAGGTGACTGTGGAAATTAAGTGTATTGCAAAGTTGAATTGAGAAAGAATAAACTAGTTTTATTCGAGAAAAGACTTGTATCGCTGAAGTTCTTCGGAAAGAATTTTTACGAGTAATTAACAAACGATCAGAGACGTAACAATACTTAATAAAACAAAAAGACAAGTTTTTCCTCGTAGATTTGTATTGAAATGATAAGAGATATTTGAGAACCCGTTTTTAGTTTCTCATACCAGTTCAAAAGTAATCATATAAGTTAAACTTAGAATAAAAAAATGAAATCCAGAGAAATCTAAATGAAAAAAAAAATCCCAATAAGCTAACTGTAAGTGAAATCCAAACATTATGAAAAGAGTATTAAGTGAACGTGTAGTAGAGCTACAAGGGATCAAAAGGTCTTACGATGAATCATATAGAAATGATGAAGAAGAAGATGTAAAGGCCTTCTTACAAGGGGATACGAGCTAGCTATAAAAAAAGGCAAGCTTCTGTGAGGCTGGCATCACAGGAAATGAATGACAGAATAAAGTCAAAATTCAACAAAGAGTTGACCCATGAACAGAATAAGTGTGATCCCAATAAAATAACAAGGAACAAATATAACTAGAATAATATCAAGTTAAGTTCACACTCCTGGCAGACTTCCTAAACCTCGTCACAAAATTGGAGACAGATTTTGTCCAAATGACATGGGTAAACTCTTTGAGGGACTTAAAAATTCGTCTAATAACCTATATTTAAGGCCTCAGTGGCATAGCATTCAATGAGAAAGTGGGCTACTTAGTTGGTAAAGTTTAAACCTTAGACAACCTGATAAGATATCTGAAGATATTGTTAGTGAAATAGTACGTAGCTAAGGGAACAAAAAAGATGGAAGACTAGAGGAAAGGACGTGGAAGTATGGAAGTGGAACGAGCATGAAGGTATGTGGAGAGGACAGAGCGAGATCTGCGCCAAGGCTGATACCAAACTTTTAATGTGCAAATTGTAGTAGAGGTAGTAGTATTAATATAATTTTATTTACGTTGGGTATCTGGTGTTAATTTTTTAAATAATTAAAGAAAAAGAAACACATTACTTAATAATAATAATAAGGAATAAATGAAAACTGATTGTTGTTGTCCAGTTACCTCCATGTGGCATGGTGGTTCAGAATTAGGGATGGCGCAACGTTATCCACACTGTGCATTCACAAACATATTGCGACGGGACTCCACAATTGAAAAGAGAAGAATGTGTGTACTTTGCTGATTCAAGCTCCTTTACATTGCAAATAAATAAATAAGAAATAGGTAATTCATGATTTTTTTTTCTATCAAGATCGGTTGGTATTCGATTTTTTTTCTATTTCCAGGCTTATTATTATTGTAGATACAGTTAGCCCGAAAATGAAAACATTAGGTCAATCAATAGGAATATCGATGATTTTGTATTTTTAGCTTTCGCAAACAATACTTACTTTAACAAATAAAAAGTCCTACTAAACAATTAATAATTTTCATCTTTTCGTGCATGATAACTTCCGCTCCATGATACATTTTCTATTGGATCTTCTATTATTCTGTGGAACCAATCTTAAGCTTGTCACTTTTAGAGGAATTGGCGCACTTGAAAATACCACACTATCTCATTTATATCTTTAAAGAATAATTGTATATTCAGATATCAACTTTAAACCGATTTCCAGGACAACAGTAATGTATTCTATTATGGTCGACTGTTATAACAATTACGTTTTCTTTGGAGGAGGATGTTTCTTCGTTCGTTCTGTTTCGTTACTCCTTTTGCCAGTTATAATTTGATTTCTGTTTTGAATGCAAGTTATTTTAGTTTAGGGTTATAAAACATATACAGTATTACCGATGTTCTTAATAGTTTTTGTTGTATATAATAATTTAAAGCTGCTTTAATTTGTTTATTGCAGTTCAATTTCCTTTGTTTTAATATATTTGACAACCAGATGTCACGGTAAGCAAGCGGGATTTCAAAATGCCGACGAAGAAATATGTTTCACGTAGATATCCTAGTACGCGTTTAAGATCAATTTTACGAAGTTACGAGAAAACCATAAGGCTTAGTAAACAGTCAGAAATACTGGTTTGTCTTTTTATACTCCAGTCTTGAAACTTATATGTTATTATATATCAAAGCTCAGGTTTCATAACATTAACACTCAAATTGCAATGGCAACATAGACAACCGGGTTTAAATTAAGTTATAGTCTTACTAAATTGCTATATAGTATATATGTATATGAAATTCATCATGAATGGATGTTACCAAAGATTTAGTGCTGATAAGTTGAACTGTTATTTCTCAAAAAATCTTTGACATTAGAGAAATTTCTTATTGTTAAAATAACGCAAAAGCTATTCCATTATTTTAATTTTAAACTTTAAAGTAGAAGTATCAAGGGGTGTGGATAACACTAAAACTAAGTCGGAGGTAGCTTTTACAATGTATTAAGACAAACGAAATGGCTTTTTCGTGTTTTGGTGCATGTATTTTAGCTAATTTAAGTCGACAACTGCTCCCTGGGTCGAGTTTGGGCCCTCCAAAATGTCGGAGGTAGTTTTTAAAATGTGTTCAGACAAACAAAATGCCTTTTTTTTCATGTCTTTACAAACTCACTGTGTTGTAGTACAAGTATTTTCAAACAATTTAGGGCAACAACTGCCCCCTGGGTCGAATTTGGGCCCCTTGAAGTGTCAGAGTTAGGTTTTAAAATGTGTTCAGACAAATGAAATGCCTTTTTCGTGTACCTAGAGACTCTCTGTGTCGTGGTGCCAGTTTAGGTCGACAACTTATCCCTGGGTTGAACTGGAGTCCCCCAAAGTGTCAAATGTAGTTTTTAAAATGTGTTCAGATACAAGCAAAAAGGCATTTCATTTGTCTGAACACATTTTAATAGCTACCTCTGACACTTAGGGGGCCCAAACTTGACCCAGGAGCAGTTGTTGACCTAAATTGGCTGAAAATACTTGCAACACAACACAGAGAATTTGTAGAAACATGAAGAAGGTATTTTGTTTGGCTGAACGCATTTTAAAAGCTACCTCCAACTTTTACCAATTGCTGTAGTAGTTTGACATCCATCGTTACTGTTAGTGTTAGCAAGGTGTTATATACATATTTCGAAAACTGGCATGGTATCATTCCAAAATTACTTTACAACCTCAGGATATGTTTGTCATGCCCATTAGACATCAAAAAGACAACATTCATTTTTTTCAGTTCACCACCATTTCTACCATTCATTTTTCCATACCTAATGCTACTATTTATATCAATTTGACATTTAATTCATATACCTGAGCATAAGAGAACTAGCAGTAACAGTGGTCTTATTCAGCCTTTTAGGTTTTTATAATCTAGGGTTTCTAATACACTGTCCATAAGAGGTTAGTTGTTTGGATAAAGTTGCCATGGAATGTTAGAGGGAAATAACTGTAAGCTATTGAGGCTGAGTTCTCAGCTTTTCCATTTGAGAGTTGTTAACTGATGGTATGGTTTGCCAGAGTATGGAGTGTATGCTAATAGATGTCCTGTGCTCTGCTGGTTTCGTTGTTGACTGCACCCAATTGGCCATCTTCCACCTACTCGTATATTCTTATTATGAATATTCAATCTCCAGATAGTATCTCTGGCCGAACTAGAGATCCATGTTTTTTGTATTAATGTGCAATGTGATTATACAGTTAAGAAAAAAAAGTTAAAAATTCCATCTCGGATATGAATTTTGGGCTTTGAGATTAAAAGTACACTAATGAATTTTTAATTTTAGTGATTATCTATTCAAAAGGATACCCTTTCCTCAGAACTACCTTTCTAGGCCATTTTAGTGACTATTCTGGCATGGTACACAGGCTAGAATCATTCCATTGATATTTAATTATGGATTCTTAATATACTTTAGACAAGATTTTTGCCCACTGTCCATGATTTAATGGTAAATTTGCAGGTTTACAAATTGAGTTTAATACTTGTGACGGGTAGAGCACAGGTAGCCCATTGTGCAGCTTTGTGCTTAACAACAACTAAAGACCTTCTGCTCTACATTTTAAGTTTTTATGTAGTGTTTCTAGTTTTTTATATTTGAATAACTCAACTGCTACTGTGCATGTTGATTTTCAGAAAGCTTCTGATAAGGTGCTTTATCTTGTGTGTCTGTTTTTTTTTTGGAAATGAGGTAAAACAAGTTAGTTTTTTATTTTGCTTTTTGATAGCCTATGCTTTTTGTATTAATGAAAATATTATCTCACTGGAACTACAGTAAAGAATGTGGATGTTTTTCTCCAGTGTTTATGATACATCAATCTAATAGAGATCAGTAAAAACATTTTCAGTGCCATCTAGTGAGCACTAACTGTAATACGTGATAATATGAGAAAATATTTGGGCAACTAATTTAAATACTGCAAGAAATGGTTTACCATAATTAACTTGGGCAAATATTTTTTGAGACATGGAGGACAGCCGAATTATTTTAGGAATATCACAGAAGAAGTTAAAGGTTAAATGCTCATGAAGTTTGTAACAAATTAAGATGTATAGAAAAAATTGGGTTATTGGTAGAAAGTAAAGAATGGATATGTATGTGCATTTCATTGACTGAAAAAAAATGTGGCAAATGGGTTTTTAGAGGTCTAAAATGGTATCTTTTTTTTCTTTATTTATATCTGATATTTAGATAGCTACCTAGATGGTAATATTCTAGTTTTGATGACATTAAGATCCTGGGAAGAACTGATTTAAAAAAAAAATGTTTTTGTTATTCAAAAGGACTTTAACCAATTAAAAATTTTTTTGCAGGTGTTTTTGTCATACATTCTTTTCCTACAGAAGTTGGGAAAAGAAGCCCGAAACCAAGCCTTGAGCCAACGTCAGAAAATTGTAACTGTTGATCATGTTGAAGAAGTATTGCAGGTGTGTAGAAAATCAAATCATTTTGTGTGTATTTTAAACTTTTTATAGAATTAATTTATGATCAGCCAAATATCTGGAACATAAGAGCCAGCAGCTAGTTCT